GGGTTTTGGTTTGGAAAAGAAGGATGATTGGTACTGTCTACAGAAATGGAGAGAATGAATACTTTGGTTATACCACCCTTTTTTCCTTTTTTCGCCTCCATTTGCAATTGTTTCTCCTCATCTTGTTACTTTTACCCTGTAAATCTGTTACAGATGTATCATCCCTTCTCTGTTCTTGCAGAGATCCTGATCTCACTCCCCAATGTAGGCCCTCCTTCACTTTTACTGCTCTTCCTGCCCACCTTCCTCCTTGACCGCTCTTCTTCCTCAGATGTTTCACTTAGCATCGTCTGGATTCATTTTCATAAAAATGCTGTTCTCTGTCTTTCTTGCTCCAGAACATTTATTGAACATTTACAGGGACTCATTTAGTGGGACTCACTAAATTTCCCTTGGCGTTCAGGGCCCCATAAAAACTTCCCTTGCTGCTTCCATTCATTGTGTGACCTTACTTTTCCTTGCTGTGCGTCCTGTTCTCTTCTGCTTCCTCATCCTATCCTGTGGCCAGCCAGAATTCCCTCCCCTGCTCTACACCTGATCCCTGGCAGAACTACTGCCTGTCTTCCTATATCACATCGACCTTTCTCTCCCTCTTACCTCTGCAGCCTGGTGCCTGCCACGTAAAAAACTATCAGGTTCTTATAGAACACTTACTGATTAGGTCTAGATCTTATTTTACAAAGTAAAAAGCAGCTAATTATTTCTTAAGTATTTATAGGTAAGCATATTCCTGTTCTTTCTGTATTAAACACACGATCATGTCAGTTTTCACAGGTTTAGAATTTTAGCAGTCAGGTAATACTGATTCATGTAGCATATTTGATAATGTGCCATCATTAGTTAGCATTAGTACATTATTGTTTTCTAACATTTAGGGAGGCAGCATAACATACTTTTTAAGTTTCAGATTCTGGAGCCAGACTGTTTGCCTGCATTTGAATTTTGGCTCATCCACTTATTACATGTGGGGTGTTGGCAGATTATTTAGCATCTGTGTGTGTGAGTTTCTTCATGTTGATAATAATGAGGCTTGTATAAATTAATGTATGTGAAGTGTTCATCTGTGTGTGTGTAAAGCAAGTGCTAAGTACACATTAGCCTTATTATAATTAATGTTATTGGTACTATTTATGTGGCATGCTATGATGTGAAAAACTTTTTTTTTTT